CAAATTAAGAACCTCTAAAAAAATACGATCATTTTCGGAAAAAGAAAACGAAAAATAATAACTTTGAAACTCATGTACTACAGTATTTCAAATAAAAATAAACCGGTAGTGATCTCCCCTAAACTTTCTCGAATATCTATATATATAAAGCAAAGTTGTCGGGTGCCCGATAGGGCACTTCCCGGCGCCGCAGGCGCGTCAAATTTGGCACGATGGTGCCTTGGGGCGATAGAACACGAGGGCCGGTGACGGTTGGCCGAAAAGTCTACGGACAGGGGGTCAAAACTGACCTCGACTGACCGGCGCCTTATATGGGCTATATTACGAAAAAAAAATTCCTCCGACGACCCCCCTTGATATTTTGTGAGGTGGTAGAAGAACACCTAGGGGTGTCACAAAAAACTCGGCATATCTGGGAAAACTTCGTAAAGCGGTCAAAACTGACCAGTTGTATTTCCCTATATAATCTTTGTATTTTATGGGAAAAACAGAGGGTCATTTCAACGCAGACTTTAGGGTACTTAAGCTCAGTATATCTGGCTAATTTTTTGCATGCTCCTAGATCAATGGCTTGACCTTTAGGGAAAACTGTCGGTTACACTCAAAGCCCTCGACGAGGGCTAAAAAGTGACCGCGAGTGAAATTCTCATTATATGAGCTATATTACGAAAAAAAATTTCCTCCGACGACCCCCCTTGAAATTTTGTGAGGTGGTAGCAGAATGCCTGGGGGTGTCATAAAAAACTTGCCATGTCTGGGAAAAATCGGGAAATGGGTCAAAACTGACCAGTCGTATTTCCCTATATAATCTTTGTATTTTATGGGGAAAACAGAGGGTCATTTCAAAACGGATTTTAGGGCACTTACCGTCTTTACATCTGGCTAATTTTTTGCATGCTCTTAGGTAAATGGCTTGACCTTTAGGGAAAACTGTCGGTTTCACTCAAAGCCCTCGACGAGGGCTAAAACGTGACCGTGAGTGAAATTCTCTTTATATGAGCTCTATTACGAAAAAATTTTTCCTCCGACGACCCCCCTTGCAATTTTGTGAGGTGATAGGAGAACGCCTTGGGGTGTCACAAAAAACTCGGCATATCTGGGAAAACTTCGTAAAGGGGTCAAAACTGACCAGTTGTATTTCCCTATATAATCTTTGTATTTTATGGGGAAAACATAGGGTCATTTCAACGCAGACTTTAGGGTGCTTAAACTCGGTATATCTGGCTAATTTTTTGCATACGTTTAGAACAATGGCTTGACCTTTAGGGAAAACTGTCGATTTGACTCAAAGCCCTCGACGAGGGCTAAAAAGTGACCGCGAGTGAAATTCTCATTATATGAGCTATATTACGAAAAAAAATTTCCTCCGACGACCCCCCTTGAAATTTTGTGAGGTGGTAGCAGAATGCCAGGGGGTGTCAAAAAAAACTCGGCATATCTGGGAAAATTCGTAAAGGGGTCAAAACTGACCAGTTGTATTTCCCTATATAATCTTTGTATTTTATGGGGAAAACATAGGGTCATTTCAACGCAGACTTTAGGGTACTTAAACTCGGTATATCTGGCTAATTTTTTGCATACGTTTAGGTTAATGGCTTGACCTTTAGGGAAAACTGTCGGTTTGACTCAAAGCCCTCGACGAGGGCTAAAAAGTGACCGCGAGTGAAATTCTCATTATATGAGCTATATTACGAAAACAAATTTCCTCCGACGACCCCCCTTGAAATTTTGTGAGGTGGTAGCAGAATGCCTGGGGGTGTCAAAAAAAACTTGCCATGTCTGGGAAAAATCGGGAAATGGGTCAAAACTGACCAGTCGTATTTCCCTATATAATCTTTGTATTTTATGGGAAAAACAGGGAATTTCCAACACAAGTTTTAGGTTACTTAACCTCTGTACATCAAGCTAATGTTTTGCATATACTTCTTTAGCTGACTAGGCCGTATGGAAAAACTGTTGGTCAGACTCAAAGCCCTCGAGCAGGGCTAAAAGATGACCGCGAGTGAAATTCTCCTTATATGAGATATATATAAATAAATTGACGAACGATCCCCTTAATATTTTTTGAGGTCGTAGACTGACCCTGGAGGGTAACAAAAAAAACGTTATTCACGTCGGAAAAATCCATTGTAGTCGTTAAATATGTTCATATATCAATTTTTTTAATATAAGCATAGTAACTGTTTTAAAAAAAAAGTAAACAAAAAAATACGTCATTCGGTCCATTTTCAAGGGAGGTAACCTTTTTAATAATTATTTTTCAAATAATTGTATACTATTTTAAACAGAAACAGAAAACGACAAAGTATAACATTTGTTTTAAACCTAATACGTTGTTAATTAAGCTGCGTATCATAATTAAATAAAAAATTAATTTTTAAAGTCAATGTAATATAAATTATGAGATATACTGTTAATGGAACCTCTGTATTTCTAATTCCATTTTAGTTATGAATTACGTACTTTCTACTTTTTGCTCTGAAAGCGATTGTTAAACAACATACAACATCTTCTCTAAAATTAGCATTACTGTTTAAATTTAAGCACTCCACACCTCATCCATCACCAATTAATTAGTATTCAAATTATCAAATGTTTTTGAAAACCTAAGCGAAGCTAGGCAGTATGCCTAGTTCTTATATAAAACAACAGGGGATGGTAACTGGGGATATAGTTATGATTTTTAATCCATTGTAAATACTTAAACTTTTAAAAATAGAATAGAATCTCATAAAAAAAACATTGCGCACCAAGCAAACGCCGAATAAAAACGCGTATAATAGTGCGCAATATTATTAGTACTTTAAAAATTTACATTAGTTTTTTGAGAAATCGGAAGTAGCGTAAATTACTACTTCCAGTCAACGGAAATTACTCAAAATTTAACAGAAGGTAGAGAATTAGATCTTTTACTTACATGTGAAATTTCATTTATCTATCTGAAATAGTACTCAAGTTATAGGCTTTTGAAAAATTCAAAGTAGGAAAAGTACCACTTCCGGTTATCGGAAATCGCTCAAAAGTTGATACGGATCTACGATTTTGATAAAATACTTATATATGAAATTTCATCAACCTAGCTGTAACGGTACTCAAGTTATCGTGTTTACACACAGACACACACACGGACAGACACACACACACACAGACATACGGACAAGATTGCAAAATTATGTTTTTCCGTATCAGTGAGGTGTAAAACGTCGAGATTTGTAAAAATCTCGATTTTTTTTTTTGCACGATTACAATACTTTCTCTATACTACGTATATACGAGAAAGTAATGAAACCAATAATATTTATGTGATTTTTTAAAATAATAATAAACACAGTCTTATCAAGCAATCAAAACAGATCGAAAAATTTCAAAGTTTCTAAATCCTTTTGTAAATATTTGAAGTCTGCTCAGAGGCTCCGAGTTGTAACTGAAGTCTGCTTAGATGTTTTATATTGCGACGTAAATATTTGAAATCTGCCCAGAGCTCATAAATTCCGATGTTAATATCTGAATTCTGCTAGGATTTTCTCAAAACGTTGTAACTACTTGAATTCTGTCTGGAGTTTTTAAAATTCTGTTTTAAATATTTAAAATATGCCCAGAATTCCGAAATTTAGATGTAACTATCATAAGTCTACCCAGGATTCCTAAGTTCCGATGCAACTATCTAAAGTCTGCCCAGAATTCCGAAATTTAGATGTAACTATCATAAGTCTACCCAGGATTCCTAAGTTCCGATGCAACTATCTAAAGTCTGCCCAGAATTCCTAAATTCCGATGCAACTATCTGAAGCCTGCCCAGAATTCCTAAATTCCGATGCAACTATCTAAAGTCTGCCTAGAATTCCTAAAATCTAATGTAACTTTCTGAAGTCTGCCTAGAGTTTCAACCTGTGTGGCGGCTTAGCTCCGACAATGACGACCTTGGTGGAGCTCAAACGAAGCACACTCGACTCCTCATTAATCTTTCATTACTATTTCATTATCCAGCCGCACGGGAACTCGGTCACTCGCCTTAGCCTCGTCTTCCACTGATCTTTTTTCTCCAGCCGCTGCGTAATCCCGACGGGGATAAGTGTGGCGCCCTCAGCAGCCCCTACAAAAGCTGGTGACGTCACGCGACTTCCGGCGCACAGTTTATGTGTCTCAATTAAAGTTTTTTATTTTTGGCCTAAGTACCGAGTGACCTCGGCGCTAGCTAATTACTTTTAACAGCTTTAATTAATTAGGATGGTTTTTAAAAAAGTTGAAGATATGCCGCTTATCATAATGTATCAAAGTCAGTGCACACTGGTGGGGAATTTACAAGGTGTAGCTGTTTTAAAGAATCCACACAAGCTGTGCAAGAGTGTCTGGTCACGTTGTACAAAGGTGACCGGTCACTTTGTTTGACCGGTCATGTTGTATACAATTGACCGGTCACATGGTACCACAGTGACCGGTCAAACGGTACCAGAGTGACCAGTCACACGGTACCAGAGTGACCGGTCACAAGGTACCAGAAGCCCAGGGAAAAGGGTTTACATTTTTTTAAAATTTGCAGACATCACACTAAGAAAAAAAAATGGAGTAGAAAATTTTGGAGCTGGATGGGCAGGTTCAATGGGGAGATGTACTGGAACAGACCACGTGATTTCATGGGCTGTGTCAGGACAGGGGTGGCTCAATTCTAAGCTGTCTTAACGAATACAGCGTTTCAATGGTCAGTGGGGTACAACAGAGGTGGAGGGTCCATATCAAGTAATATCTGACCGTAACATTGAGGTGTTTACAGCTTGTTTACATGATAAAAAACTTCCCCATTCTTTCTACACAGACAAGTACATTACATAGCGTTGATTAGTCTTCAATAAAATTGTCGGTAGTGATGTTTATACATCTATAAAAATGTGTAGGCGATATCATTTGAACCAGCGAAAGTGTATAGAGAAGAACGTACATTATTCTAAGTGTACAGAGAAGAACGTACATTATCCTAAAGAGGCAGACGCCACTGAACTCACCTGTATGAGTGACACCTGTGTTGAAGCTATTCTCCTGGCACTCAAGTTTTTTATCTCGGCGTAGACAGGTATGGCCTCTTTAATGGTGTAGCCCTTGCGGTCCAGCTTGAGCATGGCCGTCACGGTGCCGGCTATACAGCACCAGGAGCCCACGGCCTCGAACGTGTCGTTCTCCACGGGGAGCTGACAGAGGAAAACAAAATAACGTACATCACGTCTTGTGTTGGATTCGGAGAATTTCGGTAGCTACGGAGTTTTTCGGTAACTACGGTGTTTTTCTATAGCTCCGGAGTTTTTCGGTAACTACGGTGTTTTTCTATAGCTCCGGAGTTTTTCGGTAGCTACAGTGATTCTCTATAGCTCCAGAGTTTTTCGGTGGGTACAGTGTTTTTCTATAGTTCCGGAGTTTTCGGTAGCTACGGAGTTTTTCGGTAGCTACGGAGTTTTTCGGTAGCTAAATATACACCGATGTCACAAGCTATCAGCTAGATCAGTTTAATTAAGTCGTGATACACAACTGACATCAAACTTTTAAAGTATGCTCGCAATTTTAGAAAAACACACACACACGCACACATATATGCATAATTTTTATTTCAATGGGATTAGCGGTTTTTCTTTTTCATTGATTAAAGCAACGCTTAACACTTAAACAACGTTAGTTAAATGATAATATATCTTGATTATTCTTGCTTTTTTTTAATATCTTGAGCAACCCACCCAAAGTCCAAATAGGAATCAGTTTCTTTCAGACATTTTTCTTCAAGGGAGGGCACTTGAAACTTTCGGAGGGAGGGTCAGTGGCGGTTTAAGTATATATTTTGTATGTATATTTCAATTTCGTCAGAGTGTGTGTGTGTGGGGGGGGGGGGGAGAGAGGGAGAAGCCTAAATGAAAGTTCTCAACAAAATACTTGATGAAACCCGCTGCTCATGAATAACAAAGACTTGTATTGATATTTACTGCCCAGATATCATCTACCCAGATATTCTCTGCCCATATATCATCTACCCACAAACGATGTACCCAGATAAGACCTACCCAGCACTTTGATGAAATTCTGTAACGGACTCATTCAAATGTAGATTCCAAGTCTTGACATAAAACAAACAAGCCACTTCTCGCGACCCTTATATCAAAGAGCCACGTCATCTATTGTTATACTTGTATATTACTTCAGACAGACGTAACGTGAAGCGCCAAGTAGGACAACTCCAACAGAAGTGGCCCAAGTCCCACTGAAACCAGACCGGATATCCAATGACGTCAAAAGCTCTTAAGTGACTTCTGCCTTGGGAGCGCAAAGAAAATTTTCAGCCCAGAAAAAGAGCAAGACGAGTTGGTCAACAATATTTAAATGGAGATTTCTTCGCAGTGAATTGGTGAAGGGAAAAGAAAACAGACGATTTTTTAAGAAAATATCCCCCCATCAAAATGGAGTAAAAATGAGAAGAAATGCATACGTTAATTTCTGTTAATAATCGTCGGGGCGAAGAGTTTTGTGCCCGTGATGTATCAGCCTTCTGCCAACACTCAACAATTTATGGGGTAAACAACAAAAAAAAATAGAAAATAAAAAAACGAGATAAATTATTTTAAAAACGTATTTCAAATTTAAATAAAGATTTAAAATCCCTTTTAGATTTGGAAAAACAAAAATATAATCGAATAAAAAAAACTAAAATCAAATTTGAAAAAATGAAAATTTTATCATGAGATGAAAAATAAAACGTTCCATTTCATTGAGAAGACGCAAAAGCCAATTTAACGTGAATTCAAACCCGCGCTGACGAGATTTAGGGCAACTTGATATTTCAGACGACGAAATTTATTGCAAATAAAAACTCGGATCGAAAAGTTTGAAAACAAAATTATTGAATTAAAGAAATTTTTTGAAAAAAAAAACCACTCCGATGTTGCAAATCTCGACCGTGTAGCTTGTGAAATCAAATTTTATCGTACAATGGCCACAGTTGCACTCTAGTCTAAATATTAGGTTTTTTGTTGTTGCAGTGTTGTTTTTATTTAAACATACATTTGATCTTGTGAGCAGAGTTTCTTCAAGGCATCTCTTCAGGGGTGCCCCCCTCCCCCGAAGAAAGTGTGCCCCCCCCCCCAACGAAATGGAATTTATATAGAAAATATATACTTTTAACAGTGACCGCCCCCACCCCCCCCCCCCCGGAAAAAAAGTGTCTGGAAGAAACACTGCTTATGAGTTAATAAATATTCGACGTAGTTTAAACATAATTTATATTGAATATTATTAAACTATAATAAAATTAAGAAATGTATGAGAATTAACGATCCTATGCACTGAAGTATTGATTTTGAATAATTTTCTTATTTTTATCAAAGAGATTGAATATATTGGATTTACAGATAAAGTAAACTTAAGTAGGCCCACTGATTTTTTTTAAAAATATTTTTTTTATCACAGAAAAAACGAATTGGAATTACCGATAATGCAAGCCCTACTGAAGTATTGATATTAATACAATTTTTATTTTTACCACACAGAAGCACTCCGCGTGAAAAAAAATCCCATTCAAATGCCATGAATCTAAATATTTAGCTTGCAGGGAGATAGGCTTACTGCACAAAAATAAAAGCAGCGGTGATAAAATAGCCAATCATATTTTTTTTCTGATTGAGACGACCAATATGTTGAGGAAACAAATCGATAATTTTTACCGCCCATTGAGAAACCACCAACATTAAAAAAAAATTAAAACGAATAAAAATGTTAATTATAAAAATGTGTCAAACAATAACTTCATTTTTAAAAACATAGTTTTAAAATTTATAATATGTAAGGTACCCCAGCATCTAAAAATCCCAAAATACGGCTTTTGTGTATGTAAAAAAATAATGATCAGCCAACCGGTATGATGCTATAAAAACATATAAAAAGTCTCACTATCTTTACACAGAAGCCCCATCCACCTTCTCCCTATAAAGTCTCCCCCACTTCTCCCTATAAATTGTATAAAGCCTCCCCCACTTCTCCCTATAAATTGTATAAAGTCTCCCCCATTTCTCCCTATAAAGCCTCCCCCACTTCTCCCTATAAATTGTATAAAGTCTCCCCCATTTCTCCCTATAAAGCCTCCCCCATTTCTCCCTATAAATTGTATAAAACCTCCCCCATTTCTCCCTATAAATTGTATTAAAGCCTCCCCCATTTCTCCGTATAAATTGTATAAAGCCTCCCCCACTTCTCCCTATAAATTGTATTAAAGCCTCCCCCATTTCTCCGTATAAATTGTATAAAGCCCCCCCCCCCCCTTCTCCCTATAAAGTCTCCCCAACTTCTCCCTATAAAGCCTCCCCCACTTCTCCCTATAAAGTCTCCCCCAAATCCCTCCACAAGTGTAGGCCCTCCACAATTAAAAAAAAAACTTTACATGATTCCCTCCATCAACCGAAGAGCTACTAATTCACCCCACACTGATCAAATACAACTCGGGACAACATCACACAAATAAAAGAAAAAACAAACATTAAGATAACAGAACAAAACACAGGAGTATACACAGACAATCCCGCCATAATCAACAGCAGCCCGATCGTCAGTGAGAGCCCTGCGAGCATATTTTGTTAATCAATACATACATCATTTTATTAACCCTTTGATGTGCCGACTTCAAAGCGGAAATGAAACTATCATACAGAGAAGCAGGCGGAAATGCCGGACAAGAAAGGTTCTGGGCAGAAACATTAGGTAATACAAGGCGGTGGCGTGTAATGTAGATTGATCTGCTCTGATGTCAGCGGAAGAAGGAGAACAGAGAGTCTCAACGGTATGATGTTTTGTACCAAAATTCGGACACGGAGGTGACAGAAGTATCACGGATATTATGAATAAATGTTTGTTTAAAGTAGTGACTTTGGGACGCTTTTTGTGAAACATGAAATAATTTTTTTTTATCATGCGCTTACAGCGTCCACCTCCTATCTGTGTACATGTGTTGTCATATCGTCACATTGTTAACATCTGGCCACTGTCCACCCACTGCCAACATCCGGCCACACCGTACACCCACACTGTCCACATCTCGCCACACCGTACACCCACACTGTCCACATCCGGCCACTGTCCACATTCGGCCACACTGTCAACATCTGGCCACACCGTACACCCACTGTCAACATCCGGCCAAACCGTACAACCACATAGTCCACATCCGGCCACACTGTCTACATCCGGCCACACTGTCCACATCCGGCCACACTGTCCACATCCGGCCACACTCTACACCTGCAACCACACTGTCCACATCCGGCCACACTGTCCACATCCGGCCACACTGTCCACATCCGGCCACACTCTACACCTGCAACCACACTGTCCACATCCGGCCACACTGTCCACATCCGGCCACACTCTACACCTGCAACCACACTGTCCACATCCGGCCACACTGTCCACATCCGGCCACACTGTCCACTAGCGGTCAACTCACCGAGGCATCAGGCTCGTTGTTGAGGTCCAGCGATCCTATGACGGCGAACTTGCTCGTCCTCTCCGTGTGGGGCCCTGATTGCGGAAACACGCCCTGGGAGTACACGGACATGCGCACATAGTACCGCAGGCGGCCATGTTTGCCCTTGAACGACGACGGCAGCCGCTGGGGGAGGGTGAACTCAAAGGGGAAGTAGTGGGAGCCTGAGTGGAGGACTCCTTCATCGTTGATCTGCTTCTCACCTGTTGGGTGAGAGGTCAAAGTTTGAATTGGGGGGTGATAGGGTTGTCTTATTTGTGAGGAGTAGTGAGAGACATGGTAGTGGAACTGTTAGGGAGATGGTGGGATTGTTGGGGAGACATGTTGATTGAGTGTTAGGGGAGATATGTTGATGGAAGGGTTGAGGAGAATTGGTGTTGGAATGTTTGGGGAGATTTGGTGTTGGTGGAAATGTTGGGGAGATATATTCGTGTAATTGTTGGGGAGATATATTCGTGTAATTGTTGGGGAGATATATTCGTGTAATTGTTAGGGAGATATATTGGTTGAATTGTTGCTGAGGTTTGGTGTTGACTGAATAGTTGGAGAGAAATGTTGTCCAACAAAATAAAACCAGTGTTGTCTGATTATTTTAAGAATACCAAGTTCTTCATTGAGCCAAAGATCGAACATTCCAAAAGCTCACCTTTGATCGGTAGAACGGATGTATGATTAAAGATCTAATCCAAAGCTCACCTTTGATTGGTAGAACGGATGTATGATTAAAGATCTAATCCAAAGCTCACCTTTGATTGGTAGAACGGATGTATGATTAAAGATCTAATCCAAAGCTCACCTTTGATTGGTAGAACGGATGTATGATTAAAGATCTAATCCAAAGCTCACCTTTGATTGGTAGAACAGATGTATGATTAAAGATCTAATCCAAAGCTCACCTTTGATCGGTAAAACGGATGTATGATTAAAGATCTCCTCATCAGAGTTCTGGATGTCACTTGACGTCATCCATTCCACTTTAGCTTCCCCAATCGCCTCCAGACAGATGCCTGAAACAAAATATCACGCGTTTAGCTAAAAATAGATTTTTGTTGTTTTTGTTTTGTTACATTAGCTCATTTGATTATGGGACGAGTGGTCGGGTAGGAAAACTTAAGTGTTGCTAACTCTAAAAGTCCCTTGTTCGTGTCCTCAAGCAGATGAGGTTCGTTAGCTAGGGGAAGCAACCGATCTAGGAGAGACAACTCCAAAATCAAATAATTGCAAGCTGTGGAGGCTAATACAGAAAGAAAAGCAGGCTGAAGTAGGAGTCAACGGTCTTATGGCGCATATGTTGACACGTAATACTGAATCATGTTGGAGGATACACCTTTCTATATTAAAATTAAGAACAAAGCAGAAAAGAAGAAGTTTAATTAAATGAGTTAAACACGTACCGTTTCTAACTATCCAACAATAAAAGGGAAAATAATACTACAAGCTCACTCATTATTTTTTTAAACCAATTTTCCAAAATCGTAATAGTCAAATCTTGCGTGGATTATTGATTTCTTGAGCGGAGAGATTTTCAAAAATACAACCTATTAATTTCAAAGTCCCCTGTAATTTCTTCCAAGCACTATTAAAGATACCGTATTTTAAAAAAATAAAAATGAAAGGATAATAAAAAAATGAAGATTAAGTAGTATTCAACTCCCATGTCTGATCTCAGTAGAACCCCCCACCCCCGATATCACTAGCTATGAAACTTACTCCATCGTACCCCCCCCCCCCCCCGACCAGCTATTAGACCGAGGCTAACAAGTTTAATGTTCTATTTATCACTGCAGCTCCTGCTTCAGGTGATGGGCTATAATCTTGATCCCCTCCCCGGGGGGGGGGGGGGGGTGGGGGGGGGGCCCACCAGACAGCCCAGTGTAACTTCCCGTTTCATTCCTCCATAAACATTTACCTCAAGTGACTCAGGTAAGACCGAGGTGAGACGACACCTACCCAGGTAAGAATGACTGAGGTGATCCTACACCTGACTATAAAAACCTGCTGAATCATCCGGATTTGATTGATCTACTTACTAGTCACGTGACACGAGGAATAATCCCCCCCCCCCCACGGGCCGATAACACCCACCCCACTCACCTACAGGTATTCCATGTTCGCACTACCTGTGATAAATTAACCGTCACCTGTTGCAGAAATTCGAGTCACAAGACGAGGTTCCCACATGGGGCAAATATAAGAATGCATCGAGATAGGATTCCCACACGGAGCAAAAATAATAGTGTTTTGAGATAAAGTTCCCACACGGGGTAAATATAAGAATGTACGTGTGCGTGGGGAGAAACATCTTAATGACTAGTTTTATCTTTCATCAAACGCTTACAGAAAGAATTAATTAATTAGCCGAATCTGATGTACTCAGAGTGTGATCTACCATGAAACCTGATGTAGAGTTTGGCTTATAGCTGGGAATCTGAGTGTGTCTTATGTAGCTAGTAATCTAGTAAGTGTTTTTATATAGTTAGAAATCTGGTGTAGAGTGTGTCTTATATAGCAAGGAATCTGGTGTAGAGTGTGTCTTATATAGCAAGGAATCTGGTGTAGAGTGTATCTTATATAGCTAGGAATCTGATGTATGTCGGTAGTATTTCACAGCTAGGTATCTGAAGGGTTTTGTAACATGAGTATCTGAAGGTTGCATGTGTTAATTTGGCTAGTACAACAAAACCCAGGATAACCTACCCACACAATACATCAAAACCCAAGATAGCCTACCCTAGGTTGATTATATCTTAGTAATTTTGTACTTAACACAATACATAAGATTCAAGTTACATTAAACACCAGATAAAAGTAATTTTATATTTTATATAGGCTACAAGCTTCATGCGGGAGATGGACAAAAAACACAGTCACCACTATGGTTACAAGATGGAGAACTACAATAGTATTCCGTGACAGATGTTTATACGAGCAAGTATGTAAACTACCCAAAACAAAATGTTCCATGTAGTTGTAGTTGTCAATGCTGGTATTGGTAGTTAGCAATAAACTTTATGATTAATTCAGTTCTAAAAATATGGGATGTTGTATGTAATTGTCACAGTCCAGTACAAAATGAGAAGTCTAAAAACATGGGATGTTGTATGTAATTGTCACCATCCATTACAAAATGAGAAGTTTATATTTTGTTTAGTCAGTCTTGACGCCTGTATACATCAGTCGACAGCTCTTTCAGTAATGAGGTTTTCCGTCAACTCGAGGCGAGACGTAGCACCGGAGTCGAATTTAATATTTGACCTCTTCAAACCGATCATATCAGTTTGCCATCGATAAAAGAAAATTTAATTAATATTTTTTTTTATAATTAAAACAAAAACCAAACAGAAATAAAAAAAAAAAAAAACGGAGATGCACGAGGAAACAAAATCTCAAGATCAGCATCCCAGCCTCATATTTTAGGCTCTAGCAAGTTCGAGGTGCAACGTGTGTGTGTGTGTGTGTGTGAGAGAGAGAGAGAGAGGCAGAGAGAGAGAGAGAGGCGGGGTATCTCATTTCACACCGGGCAGTATATGCTTTTGGTAATTTGCATAGTTTCGTATGTATTTTTTTGGGTATTTTTAAAATTGTATGTAGCATAGCTTTACCACCAATGGAATCCATATAATTACCAGTGGATAGCACGCGACTACCTATGGGCCGATATGGTGATTCCATGAAGTTGTATGTAACATATTAAGTAAGACTGGGCCGCATAGGATTACTATTAGACTGCTACCATGACAACTGCTTGTGGTTAAGATGACCTAAACATGGCCGCTTGTGTATGATGTACGTGTTAATGGTAGTCAATAAAACAAGAAAAAAGACGGCACAAAAAAACTCAATCGAGAAAAACTGAAAAAAAAAACACAACACAAACAGAGAAATAACATACACCACTGCTGTTCTTTTATAGCTATCTGTTTATTTATTTTATCGCTGAAGCCGGCGTTTCATAAAATTTTTTTATTTATTTATTTATATCCTCGCCCGCGGCTTGTCTTAGAGAACTGAGTATCAAGCGTTTGTTTCCTGACTGATAAGATAGGGCACGATCCTAGAACTATTGTCCGGCCCCAAGTGCGATTCCAAACTATCAGTCCCCCCCCCCCCCCCAGTCCACGTCCGTTCCTAGAAATATCCCCCCCCCCCCCCAGGACGATCCCAGAATTATCAATCCTCACTAAGATAAAAGAACTTACACTCCCATCCCCCACAACAGTACGATCCTAGAGTCTCCACCCCTAGTACGATCACAGAACTAACACCCCCACCCAACCCACCACTGCGATAGCAGAACACCGCCCCCCCCCCCCACCCAGACAGTACGATCCCAGAGCCCTCCACCCCCACAGAATGATTACAAAACTATCACTCCTCCCCTACGATCCCCTCCCAACGATTTCAGAGCTCCTCCCCCCCCCCCCCCCACAGTACGATCCCAGAACTAACCTTTCCTCCCCAAGTACGATTAACCCCTCCCCTCACTGTACGATCCCGATTAACCCCGCCCCTCACTGTACGATGGTCGATCCCAACTAACCTCTCCCCCCACACACACAGAACGATCACAACTACCCCCTCCCCACAGTACGATCCGTAAACTACCCCCACCATCCCCACATTACGATACTAGAACTATCACCCCCACCCTCCCCACAATAAGATACTCGAACTATCACCCCCACCCCCCAGTACCATCCCACAACCATCCCCCGTCCATTCAATCCCGCTGAGCACAGGTATGAGAAAATTGTTTGCCGTATCGAGAAGTTTACAGGTGATAAAATTCTGCCACTTTAATACGTATGTGAGGAGGTAGATCTGACTTGGTCGAAACTTTCTAGACTGCTTTGTACCAGGAGTGTCGCGGTTGTCTGTCAACATTTTAAATAACTCACAGGCTACAAGACGTGTCTAGACAGAACATTGGAACACAAAAAGAAATGGCATAAGGCAATAGGACCAAAAAAAAAACAAAGGATATGCTCAGAAAATGATCAGTTGTTGATATTGAAGATAGTGTTTAGTGGTGTTATAGTGTGATGTGCTTTGCTGTTTTTTTTTAAAATTCCGTTCGTAACTCGGGTCTAGGACTAGTATACTTATGTAGGACTGAACTAAGGCATTTACTAATACCGATTTTGACTTGCTCTCAAGATTTTGAAACCGTTTAAGTAATAAAATTTTTTTTATACAATACATTTCGATGAAACACAATTTCTAAAGAATAAATCATGATCTCCAATGACGTACCATATCCACATAATTCTTTAAAAGCGCACCGCATGAACACCATCGTTAATGGTGTTCCAATCAACATCATCCCTTAATAGTTTAATAACGTACCGCATGAACACCTCTAATCGATCATTCAAGTGTTTAAAATAACAACATTGAAAGAAAAAAAAATTTAAACCGTAATTTAAAATTCATGTAAAAATGTAAATTTAATCAAGCATTTAATTGAAGTCACGGCCAAAGAAACGGATCCAATTTAATGTAGCCCAGATTTAAAAAAAAAATTCAGGCAGTATTCAGTACAACTTTTGATCGTAGCTTTACAAAATCAGCGTACAGAAACACTGACCTGTCATTTAAAAAGTCTGAATAAGGACAAAGTCAACAAAGAAAATTTCAGGATCAAAATTCAATCTTATTAAAATCTATCTTGATAAGCGTCGACACCGAAAAAGAAACAACACCAAAAAAAAAAAAAAAAAAAAAAAAAAAAAAAAAAACACCCAGCAAACAGATTTTGTTATCTCCCAACTTTAGCCTAAAAGTGCAAGCCACTCATTCTTAATGACACGTGTTTTTCGAAGATCCCAACTGTTTCAATTAATTTTTTGGTTTCATTTCAGAAAAAAAAAAGTATTTATTTTTCTACGTACTGTCCAAAAAAAAAAAATATAAATAAATATAAGAATAAATAGAATATAGGAATATCGGATGCAGAATTTCAGGTGGCGTTAAAATGCTTGGGTTTCTGTGATAAACTGGTTAGTAG